ACATCTTTATTGGAGTATAATTGCTTTACAATGGTGTGTTAGTTTCTGCTTTATAACAAAGTGAATCAGTTATACATATACATATGTTCCCATATCTCTTCCCTCTTGCGTCTCCCTCCCTATCCCACCCCTCTAGGTGGTCACAAAGCACCGAGCTGATCTCCCTATGCTACGTGGAGAAAGGACAGCCTCTTCAATAAGTGGTGCTGGGAAAACTGGACAGGTACATGTAAAAGTATGAGATTAGATCACTCCCTAACACCATACACAAAAATAAGCTCAAAATGGATTAAAGACCTAAATGTAAGGCCAGAAACTATCAAACTCTTAGAGGAAAACATAGGCAGAACACTCTATGACATAAATCACAGCAAGATCCTTCTTGACCCATCTCCTAGAGTAATGGAGATAAAAACAAAAATAAACAAATGGGACCTAATGAAACTTCAAAGCTTTTGCACAGCAAAGGAAACCATAAACAAGACCAAAAGACAGCTTTATCCATTCATCTGTTGATGGACACTTAGGTTGCTTCCATGCCCTGGCTATTATAAATAGAGCTGCAATGAACATTTTGGTACATGACTCTTTTTGAACAACCCAATCCAAAAATGAGCAGAAGACCTAAATAGACATTTCTCCAGAGAAGATATACAGATTGCCAACAAACACATGAAAGAATGCTCAACATCATTAATCATTAGAGAAATGCAAATCAAAACTACAATGAGATATCATCTCACACCAGTCAGAATGGCTATCATCAAAAAATCTAGAAACAATAAATGCTGGAGAGGGTGTGGAGAAAAGGGAACCCTCTTGCACTGTTGGTGGGAATGTGAATTGGTTCAGCCACTATGGAGAACAGTATGCAGGTTCCTTAAAAAACTAAAAATAGAATTACCATACGACCCAGCAATCCATTACTGGGCATGTACCCTGAGAGCAGGTGCTTTTATAGCATGGCAGGGACACAGCTACAGAAAATGAAGAGGAGTCAGCCGGGATGGAGGACTGAGCGGAATGACAGAAGGCTGGTGCCAGAGAGGTCTGTGGAAGAGAAAAGAGATAATTCTTTCAAGGGGGAGCAGCTTCCAGGATAAAAGGAAGCTTGGAGAGTTAAATGGATAACAAAGATCTTTCGGAGCTGATCTTTTTCTTCTATTGGTGCCATGCAGTTTATCCCTACCCCAAACCCCAGACCTCTGAAATCCTTCATTAAGGGTTAAATTATTGTTTACTGCTTTCCTGGAAGTTAGAGTGATGTTCCATTTGAGTGCAGTAGCCCCATTACAATCAGTTTATACAACTGGCTAATTACTGTTATTAAGATAATTTCATTCCCCACTGAAGAACTGGGGACATTCTGTGCAGATGACCCATCCTTCTGTCCCCAGCTATTCCATAGCTTTCCTGCCCATTCATTCCATCAGCAGTTTAGAGCACTTACTCTGGGTAAGGACTGTCCTAGACCCCAGAGGAACAGCAGGGACTAAAGAGACTTGGTCCCCACCCTCGTATGGTCTGAAGAAATAAGGAGACACTGTGCAGAGTGTGACCTTGTGGTGGGTCAGGAACAGCCTTTCCAAGGAGGTAACATCTGAGCTGAGACCCTGTGGGAGCTGGAGGAAAAGTGCTCCAGGTGGAAGGGACAGCAGGGCTAAGGTGCTAAGCCAGGAAGCTTGGCTTGTTTAGGGAATGGAGAGAAGGTCTGCAGGGCAGGCAGAGGGGGAGGGGTGATGAGCCCGGGGAGATGGGAGAGGCCGGAGGATCAGGTCTCGGGGGCCTTATCTGCCCTAAGGAGGAATGTAGATGTTAGCTGAAGATTTCAGGTTTGGGGAGCCCAAAGCCTGGGGAGGGAGGGCATCCTGGAGGCTTCGCCTCTAACTGCAAGCTGCTCCCCAGCTGCCAACGAGGCCAGAAGCGAGAGAGCATGGGGAGAAGGTACAGCCACCATGGGCACTGAAGGACCATGAGGCATCTGGGTCCTCCTCCACAAGCTCCAGACAGCGAGAAAATCCAGCAGGTTTCAGGAGGAGGACATTCTCATAGACACAAGCATTCCAAGAAACAGAGTTGAAGCCTAGACATGGCGACAAAGTCTGTACCTTCATCACCTGTACATTCTCTCTTCCCCACGTGAAACTGCTGCCCTCCCCGGAGGAAGGAGGGATGGATAATTCCAAGGGCCACCCCAGGATGCAGGTGTCACATACCCTTCTGCTGAGCTTTTGTGGGTAAGAGTCAGTGCCTGGTGGTGGGGGGGCACGTGATGGGGCATGGGATTCCCTGCTACCTGCTACCATCCCGGCCTAGGACTGAGGTCAATCCCCATTGGCAACCCTTGAGGAAGGATAATAGAACTCCTGGGAACTTACCTGGAAATGCAAGGAACCAACTGAAATTTCATCCCATTTCTCTTCTTCAAAAGCCCTTGTTCCAGTGGTAATAATATTGGCACGGAAACGTGAGATGAGATTGTTCACTGGGAATAATTCTTCCTTTCCAATGTCACCACTGTTTAAGACACACCCAAAAGAGAAAAGGTGGGGAAGGGTGGATAACTGCACTATTGTAATAATTCGACATTTCTACCACTCGATGCCTGAGTTCATCAATTGTACTCTGGCCTGAGGCTTCGATGATCAGAAGATTTTATCACGAGTGCAAGGCCAAGAGACACACATCTGTTGGACAGACCTCCATGATGTCCCTGGAATATGGTCCCATCTCCATGGAGAAGCCCACAAGAGGCAGTGCAATGGGTGAGTAGATCTTTGCTGAAGAGATGAAGAACTTTGGAAACCAAGTGAACTGGGATCGAGTGAATAAACTTATGAGAAAATACCAATTCTACAGAGTCAGGACAAGGCATTTAAAGACTGTCAACAGGCTTAATTATCAAGGACCTAAAAAGTATCCAGAGCTCACACTCTTTTTGGATATTAGAACATCATAAAGCAACATAGAGTATACATGGGAGGTTTTAATATTTATTTCCTATAGAGAACCGATTGATGGCTGCCAGGGGTGGGGAGAAGGGTGGGCAAAATGGGTAAAAGGGGTCAAAAGGTACAAACTTCCAGTTATAAAATAAACAAGTCATGGGGATGTAATGTATAGCATGGCAACTATAGTTAATAATACTGTATTGTCTAAAAAATGACTGTATTGCATATTTAAAAGGTTCTAAAAGAATAAATCTTCAGTACTCATAAAAAGAAAAAAATTTTGCAGGACTTCCCCGGTGGTGCAGTGGTTAAGAATCCACCTGCCAGTGTGGGGGACGCGGGTTCAATCCCTGGTCCGGGAAAATCCCACATGCCCTGAAGCAACTAAGCCCATGCGCCACAACTACTGAGCCTGTACTCTAGAGCCCACGAGTCACAACTACCGAGCCCACGTGCCACAGCTACTGAAGCACGCGTGACTAGAGCCCATGCTCCACAACAAAGACAAGCCACTGCAATGAGAAGCCTGAGCACCATAACAGAGTAGCCCTCGCTCTCTACAACTAGAGAAAGCCTGCGCATAGCAATGAAGACCCAACACAGGCAAAAATAAATAAATAAATTATTTATTTATTTATTTATTTTTTTAAAAAAATAAACAATCTTTAAAAAAAAATTTCCAGCTATGTGTGATGACAGATGTTTACTAGACTTACTGTGATCATTTCTCAGTATATACAAATATAGAGTCATGTTGTACACCTGAAATTAATATAATGTTGCATGTCAATTGTATCTCGATTAAAAATTTTATTTCCTAGCTTCCATCCCGTTTGCAGTTTTAACTAAGCATATGCTATTTTTGTAATTCTTGTTTAAAATTTTTGTTTATTAGCACAAGTTACCATAAAACAGCTCCCTGCACCTCCATGCACCCCCTCGAGCCCTAAGGTAAAAAAGCACTGAAAAAGCATCTGAAAACTTCAACAGAGGAACACACTGTATGATCCCATTAAATTAAGTTTAAGAAAAGGTGAAACTATCTAGGGTGAAAGAAGGCATAATAGTGGCAACCTTCAGTGGGGTTGACTAAGAAGGGACATGAGGAAGGGGCCTATGGTTCTAGAAATGTTCTCTACTTGATCTGGATGGTGGTTACGTGGCTATATACATCTGTAAACATTCACTAAACTATGTACTTATGATTTTTGCACTTTGTTGTACTTTAATAAAAATTTTTGAAGTTTGGAGGGAGGGAAATCCTTGAGCATGACTGGAATTTGCCCTGGAGACAGAACTGAAAGACCCTGGGGGAGAGTAAGGGGTCCCATGTCTGTATCTCAAAGCCCCTGGCATGTGAAAAGCCAGGGACGAGGATACCCAAGTCCAGCTTTGCCACTAACTATGTGCAACACCCACAATCGATGAGGACTGCAGGGCCCTTGTGGGAAATGAGAGGGTTAGCATTTTCCAGTCCTAAAATCCTTTGATTCTGGATTTATCCTCCAGGTTATAAACAAACAAACAAACAAAACTCCCTTTGTTCTTTTTAATAGGGAAAGTTTTATGTCCAAAAGCTACCATGGTCCGCATGGAGACAATATCATCCATCAAATTTGAAAACAGAACCAGGGACGCTCACTATGTACTAACCACAGGCTGTTTCTCCTACCTTTGACCACCTGGCCTTCCTACCTCCTGCTTGTCAGCTCTGCACTAAACCAGGACTGCAGGAACCAGGGCTGCAGCAAGCCTGTCCCCACCTCCTCTCTTTCCACACCAAGAATCCCAGAAAACTGCAGACCTGTTCCATCCAGGGCCCAGGGTACCTGAGGAAGGGGGTCACTCAGTACCGGGAAAACTCAGTGAACGCCCAGGGACCAGGCATCACACTTCAGCTCCTAAAGAGGGCAGCCTGGACCTCGGCAAGGGAACACTGCTGTGTGTTTTTGCCAATGACTATAAACAGGAATTACTACAAACAGTCCATTTTTGTAGTTTTTATTAAGTTATATGTGTACATGTTTGTGCATGTGCACACATGTGCCCAGGACCACAGGGCATGTGAGCGTCACAGGAGCCCCGGCTCATGGTGTTGACAGGTGTGGACCACGAATGATCTGCTGGTCCCAACGCTTACGTAGAGCTGGGTGATTTTTCTTTTTTGCCCCAATTGTCTGATTACCTTGGGACTTCAATTTCCTCTGAAGGACAATGAGGGGGCTTGAACCAACCAAGACCCTTTCTAGAGCTGACCTTTCCAGGACCCTTGGGAGATCCCTGGGTGGGAGTGAGCAGGCAAGTGTGCTAGTTCTGTCTGATGATAAAAACAAATAGTATCTACAATTACAACTTTAAAAGCTTTCATAACCACTCTTCTTTTCACTCAAAATGACTGTGGAAGTAATGCAAGGCTCCTAGGGGCCAGGGGACAGTGGGAGAGTGGGCAACAAAAGTGGGTCCAGGGGGCTTCCCTGGTGGTGCAGTGGTTGAGAGTCCGCCTGCCGATGCAGGGGACACGGGTTCGTGCCCCGGTCCAGGAAGATCCCACATGCCGCGGAGCGGCTGGGCCCGTGAGCCATGGCCGCTGAGCCTGCGCGTCTGGAGCCTGCGCTCCGCAATGGGAGAGGCCACAACAGTGAGAGGCCCGTGTACAGCAAAAAAAAAAAAAAAAAGTGGGTCCAATTGCTGGCAATTACATTCAACTAAATGTTTAAGAATTGAAATGATTAAAAATGAGGGTTGGGATTCTCCGCTAAGCATCCTGAGGGCATCAAGAAGGACATTGGAAGATAAAAGAGAACCCTCTAAAAGATTAAGGGAAACTGGCCTAAAAAGTTTTGTGACTTCTCTGGGCCTCAGTTTCTCAATGAAGGGTCTGGACTCATGATTCGCAGACCTTTTCTCCCCAGGGAGGTGACCAGCTCACTCCCAGGGGCAGGTAGTTACACCTGTCTGCTATTCCCAAGGTAAATAGCAAATAGTACAGGGATCTTACCTGGTGCTTAATTGCTGCTGAAGTTCCAAAACACTGGATCTGTTTATCAGCAGATACTGTGCCTCATTCACCAGAGAGAGGGTGGCTGTTGTACAAGCAGATTGATCTAAAAGTGATGGAGTATTTAAAAGAAGAGTTGCTGGAGAGGGAAACAACCTAAGTGTCCACTGATGGTTAAGGAAATGTGGTATACATACGCAGTGGAATATTATTCAGCCATAAAAAAAAATGAAATCTCGCCATTTAATGACAACATGGATGGACCTTGAGGGTATTATGCTAAGTGAAAAGTCAGAGGGAGAAAGACACATACTGTATAATCTCACTTAGATACGGAATCTAAAACAAAACAAAACAAGCTCATAGATCCAGAGAACAGATTGGTGGTTGCCGGCGGGGGGTGGGGGGGGCGATTGGCAAAATGGGTGAAGGTCAAAAGGTACGAACTTCCACTTATAAAATAAATAAGTCCTGGGGATGTAATGTCTAGTGTGGTGACTACAGTTAATAATACTGTATTGCATATTTGAAAGTTCTCATCATAAGAAAAAAATTTGTGACTGTGTGATGATGGATATTAACTGGATTTATCATGATGATCATTTTGCAATATATACAAATGTCAAATTATTATGTTGTACGCCTGAAACTAATATAATGTTGTATGTCAATTATACCTAAATTTAAAAATTAAGATAAAATAAATTAGAAAAGAAGAGTTGCTTTCTTGGAATGCAAATGAATCATGGTTCCATTGACTTGCATTTCTTAAATTTAATTTTTATCTTATAGTAGAGTGTAGTTGATTTACAATGTTGTGTTAGTTTCAGGTGTAAGCAAAGTGATTCAGCTAAACATATACATATATTCATTCTTTTTCAGATTCTTTTCCCATATAGGTTATTACAGAATATTGAGTAGAATTCCTGGCCTGATTAGTACTTGGATGGAAGACTTGCATTTTTAAATATTAAGGACTGTTTCTAAAGGGAAGAAAATGGTGCCCTGGAAATAGAAAATGTTCTAAGCATGGCTCAAACTTTTCAAAAACAGAAAGAACATAAGCTCCTAGAATATTCTGTTGATAATCTGGAAAAAAAATAATAAAATGCTGAAGTTAAATTCTTCCAGCAAAGGAAACTTGGAGGCAACACTTAGAGGAGGAGAGATGGGGCTGCAGGGCGGAGGTGGGGAAGTGGCAGGGGGCAGGGGGGGCCCTTCCCCAAGCAAGAAGAAGGGCCTTGATGAGGGTCACAGGCCCAGTGAGATCTTCTGAATCTGGTCAGTGAATCTAGTCAGGGAGAAGCTGGGTTCTGCCCTTGGGCAAGTGTGTAATATTGACTTTAGAAATAAATAATACAAGTTTTAAAACTACTGAAAAGAAAAAAAAAAAAAGAGAGAGTGGAAGAAAATATCAAGGGCCTCCAGAACTACTGCAGCCCATCACCCAGCTTCCAGCTCCCACTTTTTGGGCATGCCATAGCTGTCTTTATACAAGATGTTGATAATAAAGGCTGGCCGGGCCAAAACCTAGGGAGCTGTCTCTGAACTAGGCCTGTGGACCCCAGAGTACCCGAGAATGGACACTTCCAAGAGAATCGCTTACAGATTCTCTATTTCCATGTCTTCTTTGCTAAAATGGCTCTGTCAGAGCAGTGAGGTACAATCCCAGGCCCCTCCACAAAAGGCCCTTCTCACCCTTCACAGGGCAAAGGCCGCACCTCTCCTATGGCGCATTGCCCCTGGGGGCTAAAAATCTCCAGGGTGGAAAACAAAAGACCAGTTCAAAACCCTGGGTTCTGTGCTGAGAAAATAAAAGTCTCTCAAGCTTGGGTGACTGATCCTCCTGTAGGTCAGATGGGTTCCAATTCTTTGCTAACCACAAAACTGCCGGAACTAATTAAGTTGTCAAGTGACAGATGATTAAAGTCATCTTGATGTTAGATCCCTGTGCCTCAGAAGAAAGCTTTGAGTGACAGCACGTTAACCAAACACCTTCATTCCCAGCTGTTTACTGACTTAAATAAGATTCTTCAGAAGAGAACCAGTGCTGAACACCAGCTATTCTGATCATAGGTGACAGTCATTCATGGACATGGGAATTAATCACAGGTGGCCATCCATCTCATTAAGAGATTCATTTTCCACTCTTTTTTTCTCTTTATGTTTAATAACTATTTTTCGAAATTTATAATATACTTTTGTTGCTTTGATCAACTGTGTACTATTAAAAACTATGATAAGAACTCAACCTAGGAAAAATTTCCTAATACTGAGACTCTACAATCACAGGAAACTTTAAGAAATTTTATACATTTCAATTTATATATAATTTTAGTTTCAGATAAATATGATAGGGTGATCAAGGAAAGATTTTCAAGCATAAAATATATAACACTAAGATAAAATTCCTTCAAGGAAGTGGAATGGAAATACAAGTTGAAGAAAGAAAATGAAAGAAAGAAAATTTTTGTACATTAAAAAACAGTTTGTTTATACACATATTTTTTAATTAATACTCATAAGACTCAAATCACTATGGTATTGAGACTCCACTGGCTTATATTTAAAAGGGCAATGTACAAGTTTTAATTTTAAATGACTACAGGAGTGCATTGTTTCATTGCATTTCACTTTATCATGCCTCGCAAGTACCTCACAGGTATTAAGTTTTTTACAAATTGAATGTTTGTGGCAACCCTGCATCGAGCAAGTCTATTGCACCATTGTTCCAACTGCATTTGCTCACTTCATATCTCTGTGTTGCATTTTGGTAGTTCTCACAATATTTCAAACTTTTTCATTATTATATTTGTTATAGTGATCTGTGATCAGCGATCTTTGATGTTACTATGACTTGCTGAAGGCTCAGATAATGGTTAGAGTTTTTTAGCAAGAAAGTATTTCTAATTAAGTTATGCACGCTGATTTTTAGACATAATGCGATTACTTACTTAATAGATTATAATAAAGTGTAAACATAACTTTTATACGCACTGGGAAACCAAAAAATTTTTGTGACTTGCTTTATTGTAGTGGTCTGGAACCGAACTCTCAGTATCTCCAAAGTAAACCTGTATATTTGCAATATGCTGGAAATCACATCCTTTGCAACTATTTTTTTTTTTTTTAATTTAGATGACAACATAAAGAGGTAGTGTAGCTTTAAAAAATTTCTTCTAAGGTGTACCAACACAAAAATGTTCAAAGGCCTAGATCTAGACCATCAGAGACCTCTCCACCATAAATGGCATCCTTGAAGTATAATATTCACAAGCTGACACTCCTGATCCTGTATCGAGCAGCCAACAGATTCATTCTGCTCCCACCTTTGCCTACCGAGGCCCCATCTCCCACTAGGACAGTCACTGCCGCCCCCTGCCTGGCCTCTTTGCTTCCTTCATTTCCCTCTCCCTTGCAGCCTCCACACCTCACCAGGGGTGTCTTTCTAATGCAAGCTGCATCATGAATCTCCCCAGGGTAGAATTCTTCAGTTCTTCAACCTGAAGACAGTGCTTACTTACTCCTCAGCAGCACATTCATCTCTTCTCCCCAGCTCTGCCCCATCACTCCCCTACCCATGTCCAACCCTCCTAAACCTTTCTCTGAACTCATGAAATGCCAAGCTCTGCCATGCTGCTCCTCAGTAATCTTCTTGCCTCTCTCTGCCTGGAACACTTCTACTCTCCTGTTACGATGCAGGTCCAAACTCACCTCTTCCCTGAAGCCCTCCATGACTCACACCAGGTGTAGATTTACAAGCCAGTCTCCCAGGGAGCTAGTGACTAAGCCAGGTCATTCCTGCACAAACCAGTAATGTGGCAACTCTCCAGTGCATTCATTTATTCATCTGGTATTTACTGAGCAACTACTATGTGCCAGGTCTGTTCTAAGCCCTGAACAAAGCAGAGAAAAATCCCTCCCTCACAGAGCTTATGATCTAGCAGAGGGAAGACAGAACATAAACAGGATAACTGAGTCAAATGCATGGCCTATACGATGTGAAAAGTGCCACAGAGAAAAATAAAACAGGGAATGAGCTGGAGGTTCAGGTAGGGGCCCTGGTTCTAAGGAGGGCAGCCAGGCAAGGCTCCCCCGAGAAGGCGACATTTAAGCAGACACCTGAAAACTCTCTCTTCCTATATGGTACTGTTAGCTCAAAGTACTTTCTTCTCTGCTGTCTCATTTTATGCTCACAACAGCTTATGGCGGGAAAAACTGTCAAAACCCTTAAATCTAAGTAGATGACATGCCGTCACAATGTTCTGCCGTCGAGTTCTACAGAAGTTCAACACCATGAGGTTCAAGGATTTGCCAAGGTCTCAACAACTACTTGGTGTCGGGGCCAAGACTAGAAGTCCAGATTTTCTTAGTATACAGCAAGCTACCAATGTTTCTCTTTAACAAAACTTAATTGTGCTTCTAAACATGCAGGACTGAGGCAGAGAGCTTGAGCAGAGGTTGCAAGCCCCCCTTGGCCTCCTCGGGCTCATCCTGGAGACCACACATGGGTCCTGCTGACCTGGGGGCCACTACAGCACCTTTCTGCCAGAGGCTAACCACCCCTACTTTCTGTTCATGAGCACGTTGCCCTGTCAATCCATTTTGTGGGCTGATTTTCGTGTCTGTAAGGGTAAACCCAAGTGCCTGTCCCCTAAGAAGCAATCCGAAATGTGATACCTTTGCCTCGTTTCTTCCTTGCATTTCTTTGAAAGTCTGAACTTTGTCTGATCAAATGATATGGATGGCCAAAAAACTTTGACAGCCAGCTTGAAATTTCTTCTCCACAGTCATAAGTATTTACCCTGGCAGAAAAAAAAAAAAAAAAAAGGAAAGATGTTATATAGTATTCCTTTAAATAATTTAAGTATTTACCCTGGCAAAAAAAAAAAAAAAAAAAAGGAAAGATGTTATATAGTATTCCTTTAAATAATTGAAATAGCAAAAACTTATGTAATATAATATTATATAATTAATATAATATATAATATAAAAACATGAAGCCCCCAACAAGACAGAAATCTACAGTGACAAGTGTGCTTAGGAAGTCACAATGAGATTTCCAAGGCACAGGAAGGCCTGGGATCTGGAGCTTATGCAAAGCTTTCAGATCAAATTAAAAGCTTTAGAAATTTCTCTTGAAAGACTTTGTTTATATTACTTACAGCCACTGAGAACCACAAAGCTTGGAATTTAAGAGCTACCAGAGCATTATTTTGCTTTAAGAAGCTCTGGAACCCAGACCCGTGTCCTAGTTTTTTAACTATAGGCCTGACTGGAATATCTTCTCTCACGGCCATGCTGTAGGGACTGACGTCAATGTTTGGTTTCTGAAAAGAACACTATGGCCCTAAGTCACCGATATAAGTACATTTTTTGATCTGGTTTTTTAAAACTCTTCAAACTTCTATAATTTTTAAATAGAATTTAAAATTTCTTAAAAATTATAATCTACACATCACCAGAACTAATCATGCAAAATTGCTAATAACTTACATTGGGATTACAAGATAGATATTACTGAAAACTTATCCTTAATTTTTACTGGGAAAAATTGCTGGCTTTAGGATCTAGAAAGGAAAGGGAAGAATGAAACCTTGCTTTGTAGACATTCTCTCTGGTGCTTTGAGAGATGCACCTAAGTCCATTTTTCATTATATTGAGTACTTGTGGTTCTGAGTATAAGAAGCCTGACCTCTAGCTATCGAAAAGATTTATTAACCAGAAAACGCCATTCCTCTCAGATGCAGCTAAATGAAATCTACAACCAGGGAAGAGCCTGATAAATAATTGCAGGTACCCCTAGATGGCTATATTTCTCTCTATGAGAAGATTTGCTACAGTGACATGCAGAAATGTTTACCCAAAATTCATTGCCCTAATTGAAAATGTGCTATGATGAGTGTTTAAATCTGCACAAGAACTAACAAGAGGATGCAGAGTGTGCACACCCCTTGGGCTCCAGGATGGGCCAGGGCCCATGATGCTCAATTGCATAGAGCACGATCTACACGCTATCACCTTCCCACCTTTCCTGAGCATGTAGCCCTTCATCATCCCAGCGTGACCTGGGGCACTAACAACTTGAGTCCACTTTGGATGTAGCTTGAGTATTTGACATATCATTTCATGACTTACTTGTTTGCAGGGCAGCAGGAAATGTACTCTGAGTCAGTACTATGCATATCAACAACTACTGAGCACAGACATACCCACCAACTACTTTATTGTGTTAACTAATAGGCAATTAGCATTTTAAAAGACTTCTACTATACATAAATCCCTACTGAACTGTTAAGAGTTAACCATTTTAGTATTTGGGGGGTAAACTAGTTGGGGTATTAGATGCGCTGGGAACCCATCAGATAGGGGCCTACAATCAGAAAATTTGTATTCCACATGTTTTCAGGTTGAAATTAGATTTAGGTTAAAAGGGATGCAGAAATTTGATGTATTCAATAAACTGATTTGTAAATATTTACGATCAAGAAATAAAATGAAATCCTGTAACACTCAACCTCATTTTCTACGTTTCCTAGAATTCAGCATATGATTTATCACCAATAACTCAGATTAGGTAATAATCCACAACTATATGGAATATAATTGTTAAACTATCACCTGAAGGTTCTACAACCTGAGGGACCTCTTGACACCCCCCTCAGCTTCCACATCCAATTCATCGGCGAGTTCAGGTTATTCTACCTCCAGAATATATTATATCTGATGCCCACCTGATTTTCTCTCTGACCCTGATGCAAGCCTCCATCTCATCCCACCTGTGTTACCAACACAGATGCTCAGCTGGCCTTCCCACTTGCACCTTTACCGTCTTCCAACTTTTCTACACCCACCAGCCAATTTTTTCAAGCTGTGAATCGGGTCCCTTGACTCACCACTCCCCTGCGGCCACCCCTCTGAGCTCCACCATGCCTCCTCCAAACTGTCCCCTGCCTCACCTCACCTCCCTCCACGCCACACTGTTCCAGGGTCTACAGGAAGCAACACAGACAGTCCTGCTCTCTCGGGGTCGGCATTCTAGCAGGAGGGACTGAAGGTATATGTTGCGGAAAAGATTAATGAGAAGAAGAATTCAGCAGAGCAAGTGGAGAGGGAGGGGCTGGCTCCTAGGGGAGGTCAGGTGGGCCCTCTGAGAAGGAGGCTTTTCAGCAGAGACCCAATGGAGGTGAGGGAGTGAAGCCTGCGGGGGTATAAACAGGGAAAGAGCATTCCAGGCAGAGGGAGCAGCAAGTGCAAAGTCCTAAGGAGGAAGCATGCTTAGTAGGTGTAAAGAAGAGCTAGGAGCCAGTGTGGCTGGAGTGGAGTGTGCGAGGGGGAAGCGGCAGCAGACTGGACAGAGGATGCAGCCGAGGACCGATGGCACAGGCCATTGCTCTCTTCCCCCCGCTGAGCCGCCCTGCAGCTAGACCTGCGAGTGTCACCTGCTGCAGCCTCACCTGTCCGCACAGACTTTGCTTTGGCAAGTCTGAGCCGGTTTGCTGTTCTCCTCAAGTGGCACCGCTATAGGCTCCATCCCTATTGAATAAAGGTTAGAGACAAATTTATCATCATGGAAAAAAAAAACAAGTATGTCCAAAAAAAGTCCATTATCCTGAAATATACAAGAATTTTAATGACGCTGGAAATTGGTTGAGTCAAGTAAGTGGCTGAGTCTTGGAAATCTCTTTATAACACAGAGATTCTCTTCATCATTATCGGTACCACCAACAGCGTGTGCATTGAGCAGCTTTGTCATGGAAGACTCTGCACTGGGGCAGTCACATCCACAGTCCCTGGAATACTACAAATTCCTCTGAATGCTTTCTCTACCTCTGCATGACTCCACATCCTGACATCATTGCTCACTAGGCTACCTTAGATCCTTTAGAAATAGGCAGGCAGACATGAAGGCTCACTCTGTAAGGATGTCAGCATAGTGTCAATTCTCAGTAGCCCCTAGGAATCAGCATCAAATTGGATTTCTGCATCAATCATCATTAACACCAAGAAAAAAAAAACCAAAAAACTGTTATTTTGTCAGTGGGGTTGGGAAGCCATTCTTTTCTAAAATATTGTTACATACATCATACATACAAAGGAGTGTTTAACATATACATAGTGGTCTGAAGAAAAATAAACACTCATATACCCAGTACTCAGCTAAAGTGGTATTCATTCTTTCAATAGATTTAGAATAAAATATGTGGAAGAAACTAGAAGAAACTGATCCATGGCCACTGATGAGTGAAAGACCATTGCTAAAGGCTGGAATGGCTGAAGGCCTCTGCCACTCTGCACTCCTTCTCATCCTTCGTGAGTCATTAAAAATATAGGGAACTGCATGAAGCCAAGACACCTGAGTGGAATTTGTGGCGGCTCCTACTCTGTGGACTCCTCCTGTGTGGCCCACCCGTGCCCTGCACCCTCTCAGCATTGCCACCAGTCACACTGCTCACTGACATGACCCAACCTGCCCCCAGCAAGCACACAGCAAGCACACCTGTATCCCTGCTCATGCTGGTTCTGCTTCATCACACACAGCACAGCAACGGGTACATCCATTTCCTACTCACGAGCGTCAGATCATGACTGCTACCCAGACCCATGCCAATCACGACAAGCCTTTCACCACAACAAAGACAGAGAAGTAACAATATGCGTAAGAGGTATTTCATCAGCTCTGTCCCCTGCTTGTCCATGTCTTACACAAGCATGACCAGTTCCACATTCCTGTCCCTGTGTGGGGAAGGCCAGAAGAGGCCTCATCCAGAAAGCTCCAGAAGTTTGGAGAGTGCTGTGCTGAGTGATTAGAGATGCTGCTGTGTCAAAAGGCTGTTCATGGGGCTTCCCTGGTGGTGCAGTGGTTGGGGGTCCGCCTGCCGATGCAGGGTACGCAGGTTCGTGCCCCGGTCCGGGAAGATCCCACATGCCGTGGAGCGGCTGGGCCCATAAGCCGTGGCTGCTGGGCCTGTGCGTCTGGAGCCTGTGCTCTGTGGCGGGGGGGGGCACAGCAGTGAGAGGGCCCCCGAACACCACAAAAAAAAAAAAAAAAAAAAAAAAAAAAAAAAGGCTGTTCGTGGAAGGATGGGATTGCACCAGGTGTGCACCCACAGGGGAGAATGGTAAAGTGAGTCCTGGAACATTGGTTATGAGGAAGTAACCACAGCAGGGGGGACAGCATGTGTACAAATGCACGGCGGAAATGCACCCCTGGGCTGCCAGCAGGAGGCCTGCGCTCAGCCTCTTTTTACCCTTACCCAAGACTCTGCACAAATCATATATAATCATAAATATGGCCCCCAGGTGGCTTATAAAGGTCATCGCAGGCCTCTTGTTAAACAGGCAACCTAATCTGAGGTCCCCATATGGATTGAGCTCAAGGGCCGCCCCCAACAAAGTTCATGGGGATTGAGTTCATTCCGGATATACTAAGCCCTGTGCTTGTACAGCTCAGAGATACAGAGAAATAAAAAATTCCAAGCTCTGGACTCAAGATACCTGAAATCTTTTGGAGTGACAAGTCATTTACATAAAACAATTATAATGCCTTGTTTTAATGTTTATTATTTAGGGCCAAAAGTTTGTCCTACCATATGTGTCCTGCAAAGGATGTCCTTCCTCCACCCACAGTGCTGGAAGTCCCTACAAGTGAGCAGAACATCTGATATACCACACCACCTCACAAAGTGCTGCTGATTTGGAGTGGAAGATATTTGGGTATTTGTTTTCTCTCTCTCTTATTCCTTATATTCTGGGATAAATCCTATTTAGTCATGACATACATTTTTATGCTTCAGAGAATAGAAAGAAGAGTAACCCATTCAACTCTTTTTGTATGTTAATATCCTGGGTATCCAAACTTAAACAAGAAAAGTATAATAAAAGAGGGTAACATCTCGGGCCTTCCCTGGTGGCGCAGTGGTTGAGAGTCCGCCTGCCGATGCAGGGGACACGGGTTCGTGCCCTGGTCCGGTAAGATCCCACATGCTGCGGAGCGGCTGGGCCCATGAGCCATGGCTGCTGAGCCTGCGTGTCCGGAGCCTGTGCTCCGCAACGGGAGGGGCCACAACAGTGAGAGGCCCGCGTATCACAAAAAAAAAAAAAAGAGGGTAACATCTCAATTCAAAGAAATGGAAAGATATCCCATGCTCTTGAATTGGAAGAATTAATATTGTTAAAATGGGCATACTACCCAAAGTAATCTAAATATGTAATATGATCCCTATCAAATTACCCATGACATTTTTCACAAAACTAGAAAAAATAATCCTAAAATTTATATGGAACCACAAAAGACCCAGAATTGCCAAAGAAATCCTGAGGAAAAAGAACAAAGCTGGAGGGACTTCCCTTGTGATGCAGTGGTTAGGAATCCCGTTGCCAATGCAGGGGACATGGGTTTGATCCTTGGTCTGGGAAGATGCCACATGCCACAGAGCAACTGAGCCCATGTGTCACAGCTGCTGAGCCTGCACTCTGGAGCCTGCGAGTCACAATTACTGAGCCCACATGCCACAACTACTGAAGCCCGCACACCTAGAGCCCGTGCTCCACAACAAGAGAAGCCACCGCAATGAGAGGCCCACACACTGCAACAAAGAGTAGCCCCTGCTTGCTATGACTAGAGAAAAGCCGGCGCACAGCAACAAAGACCCAACACAGCCAAAAATAAATAAATAAATTAATTAATTAATTAATTATAAAATAAAAGAACAAAGCTGGAGACATAACCCTCCCAGACTTCAGACAATACTACAAAACTACAGTAATCAAAACAGCACAGCATTGACACAAAAACAGACATATGGATCAATGGAACAGAATAAAGAGCCCAGAAATAAACCCACACACCTACGGTCAATTAAACTTCAACAAAGGAGGCAAGAATATACAATGGAGAAAAACAGTCTCTTCAGCAAGTGGTGTTGGGAAAGCTGGACAGCCACATGTAAATCAATGATGTTAGAACACACCTCACACCATACACAAAAATAAACTCAAAATGGCTTAAAGATTTAAGCATAAGACATGACACCATAAAACTCCTAGAAGAGAACATAGGCAAAACATTCTCTGACATAAATCATACCAATGTTTTCATAAATCAGTCTCCCAAGGCAATAGAAATAAAAGCAAAAATAAACAAATGGGACCTAATCAAACTTACAAGCTTTTGCACAGCAAAGGAAACCATAAACAAAATGAAACAACTACCTACAGACTGGGAGAAAATATTTGCAAATGATGTGACCAACAGGGCTTAATTTCCAAAATATACAAAGAGCTCATATAGCTCAATAACAAAAAAGCAAACAACTCAGTCAAAAAAAATGGGCAGAAGGTCTAAATAGACATTTCTCTAGAGAAGACACACAGATCAACAATAGGTGCATGAAAAGATGCTCAACAGCAATTATTTATTAGAGAATTGCAAATCAAAACTACAAAGAGGTACCACATCACACCAGTCAGAATGGCCATCACTAAAAAATCTATAAATAACAAATGCTGGAGAGTGTGTGGAGGAAAGGGAAACCTCCTCCACTGTTGATGGGAATGTAAACTGGTCCAGCCACTATGGAGGTTCCTTAAAAAACTAAAAATAGAATTACCATATGATCCAGCAATCCCACTCCTAGGAATATATCCAGAAAAAACAATAATTCAAAAAGATGCATGCACCCCAACATTCACTGCAGCACTATTTACAATAGCCAAGACATGGAAGCAATCTAAATGTTCATCAACAGATGAGTGGATAAAGAAGATGTGGTATATATATGCAATGGAATATTACTCAGCCCTAAAAAAGAATGATATAATGCTATTTGCAGCAACATGGATGAACCTAGAAATTATAATACTAAGTGAAGTAAGTCAGACAGAGAAAGACAAATATCATACAATATCACTTATGTGTGGAATCTAAATAATGATACAAATGAACTTATTTACAAAACAGAAACAGACTCACAGACATAGAAAACAAACTTATGGTTAAAAGGGGGGATAAATTAGGAGTTTGAGATTAGCAGATACAAACAATTATATATAAAATACATAAACAACAAGGTCCTACTGCATAGCATAGGGAACTATATTCAGTATCTTGTAATAAACTATAATGGAAAAGAATCTGAAAAAGTACATATATATATATATATAGAAATAAAAACTGATTCTCAAGTGCATAATCTGCTTGCTGAAACAAAGCCAAACACTGTTCAAAGGAAAGCAATAAAACCCAGGTATTCAATAATGTAATGTCACAGTATCTAGTATCCAATAAAAAGACACAGACATGCCAAGAAACATGAAAATGTAAGCCATAAACAGAAGAAAATTATGATCACTCACAAATGATGGGGAGAAAGGATTTGCAAGATATATATATATATATATATATATATACATATACATACATACATATATATATATATATATATATATTTATAACTGAATCATTTTGCTTATACCAGAAACTAACAACATTGTAAATCAACTATACTTCAATAAAACAAAATTTTTTTAAAGAAGATAACGTCTCAATCTCACTAATAAGAATAGGTACAAAAATACCAATAAAATATTAGCAAACTAAATCCATCAATGTATCAAAAAATCATTGCCAGATAGTGTTTTTCTTTTCTCCAAGAATGCAAGGATAGTTCAGTACTAGACAATCTACTAATGTTAAGACATCACACTAATAGACTATAGGGGAAAAATATAACCAACAGATGCAGAAAGAGCATTTAGTAAGAACTATTAGTCATGATAAAACTTTTGGCTAAATTAAAAAAAACTACTTTAGCCTGGTAAAACAAATCTATTAAAAATGTACAGTAAATATAACTCTTATTTTTGAAACTTTAGAAGCATTTTATTCAAGTCAGTAATAAAAAAAGGATATTTTCCATCACTGCTCCATGCAATAAGAAAAGAAGAAAAAAGAGGGAGTGAATAAAAATTGAAAAGGAAGATATGAAACTGTCATTATTAGAAGATGATATGCCTATTTATATAGAACATGCGAGAAAATCTTCAGACCAACTAATAAAACTAACAGGAATTCAGAAAAAGTACTGGGTAAAACACTGATATACGAAAGTCAACAGTGTTTCTATACTACAACAGTGTTTCTATACTACAAAAATAACCAGTTAAAACATTTAATAGAAAAAAAAGATAGTGCTCAAAATACTCAAATAAACAATTATATAACAAAAAATGTGCAAAAATTTTCTGGAAAATAGTATTAAAATTATTTTAATAAATTATTATTAAAATTTTGGAGTAAAGAAATCTTCATGGAGAGAGATACTATTTATATATAGAGGACTCAATATTATATGATACAAATTCTCCTGAAATTAATTTATGATATTACAATCAAAATATGATTACAAAATATGTAATTTTGCAATCAAAATCCCAATGAAAATAATAGAGAATGTCAGAATGGATAAAAAGCATGAGCCAACTGTATGCTGGATACAAGAAACTCACTTCAAATATGATATAGGCAGATTAATGTAAAATGGAGCCATAAAGAAAATGAAAGGAAGTCTACACAATGGGAGAAAATATTTGTAAATCTGATCTAAAAAGTGACTTATATTCAAATATATAAAGAATTCTTACAACTCAATAATTTAAAACTAAGTAAGCAAAGAATTTAAATAGATATTTTTCTGAAGAAGATATACACATGGACAATAAACACATAAAAAGATGGTCAATATCATTAGTCATTAGGGAAATGCAAATCAAAACCATGTGAGGTACTGCTACACACCCATTAGGATGACTATTAAAAAAAACAACAACAACAGAAAATAAAGTGTTGGGGAAGATGTGAAGAAATTGGAAACTTCATATGTTGCTGGTGGGAATGTAAAATGGTGATGGAGTCACTCTGGAAATGCTAAACACAGAGTTACCATATGACCCAGCAATTCCACTCCTAGGTATATATCCAACAGAATTGAAAACATATGTCCACACAAAAATTTATACATAAATGTTCACAGCAGCGTTATTCACAATAACCACAAATGGAAACAATCCAAATATCCATCAACTGATGAATGGATAAAAAAAATATGGTATATCTATACAATGGAATATTATTCAACAATATGGATGACCCTTAAAAACATTACACTAAGTGAAAGAAGCCAGTCATATATTGTTTCCATTTATATGAAACATCCAGAATAGGCAACTCCATAGAAACAGATAGTAGATTAGTGGTTGCCAGAAGCCGAGGATAAGGTTGGGAATGGGGAGTGACTGCTAATGTGTATGGGGTTTCTCTTGGAGGGTGATGAAAATGTTCTAAAATTGATTGTGGTGATGGTTGTACAACCTTGTGAATATACCAAACATATCATTGAATGGTACACTTCAAATGAATACATTTTATGGGATGTTACATAAATATCGATAAAGCTAGAAGAAATAAATATAAAGGTGGAAAATGATACACCATACAAACACTAACCAAAAGAGAGCTGAATGGCTATATTCATATCAGACAAAGAATTTCACACTTCACATTTTGAAACAAAGAAAATGACCATGCATAAAGAGCAGCATTACTTAGGGAACAATTCACCAAGGAGACATAATAATACTAAGTGAAGCAAAACCTAAGAGAACTAAGGGAAAAATAGACAAACCCACAATTACAGTTGGGGGCTTCAACACTCTTCTTTCAGTAATCAACAGAACTGGTAGCGAGTACATAAAAATTCAGCAAGTACAGAGAAAAACAGCAATACCATCAACCAACTGGTATAGAACAGACATCTATAGAACACTCCACCCAACAACAGGATACACATTCTTTTCAAGTGTATATGGAACACTCATGGCAATAAATCATATCCTTGGTCATAAACCAAACCTTAACAAATTTTAATTTAAAAATCTATAAAGTATGTTCTCTCTTTTGGAGAGTTTAATGGAATTAAACTGAAAATCAATAGCAGAATGAAAACAGAAATATCTCCAAATATATAGAAATTAACACACTTCTGTAATCCATGGGTCAAAATGAATATAAAGAGAACAAGTATGGACATAAAAAGATGCTTAACATCATTAGCCAGTAGGGAAATGAAAATTAAAATCATGACGAGATAGGAGTTCCCTGGTGGCCTAGTAGTTAGGATTCCAGGCTTTGACTGTTGTGGCCTGGGTTTAATCCCTGGTCAAGGAACTGAGATCCCGCAAGCCACATGGTATGGCCAAAAAAAAAAAAAAAAATCATGATGAGATGCCATTACACACTTATTAAAATAAATAAAACAAAAAATACTGACAATACCAAAAGCTGACAGAATGTGGAACAACTGGAACTCTCATACATTGCTGGTGGGAATGAAAAACGATACGGTCATTCTAGAAAATGGTTTGGCAGTTTCTTTTAAAGGTAAACATATCCTTACCATATGACTCAGCAATCAACGCCTAGTATTTATTCTAGAGAAATGAAAACTTGTGATCAACCAAAAACCTGCACATCAATGTTTAGAGCAGCTCTATTCATAATTGCTCAAAACTGGAAACAATCCAAATGTCCTTTAACAGATGAACGGATGAACACACCCTAGTATATCCGTACAATGGAATACTACACAACAATAAAAAAAAGAATAAACTACCGATTCATGCAGTAACTTAGATGGGACTTAAAGGCATCATGCCAAGTGAAAGAAGCCAATGTCAGAAGGTCACATATTGTACATTCTATTTATATAACATTCTCAAAAAAATAAAACTATAGTGATAGAGAACAGATCTCTGATTGCCAGGTGTTAAGGGTGGGGAGAAGAGAGACTATAATGGGGTAGCATGAGGGAGTTTTCTGGGGTGATGGAACTGTTTTGTACCTTGATGATGGGAGTGACTACACAAATCCGTGCATGTGTTAAAATTCATAGAGGGAACAAAAGGCCAAGAATAGCCAAGACAATCTGGAAGCATGAGGTAGAAGGACATGCCCTACCAGATATCAAAATTCATTCTATAGTTTTTAACATTGGCTTATTGGTTCAAGAAAAAATAAACCACTGGAACAGAATAGAACACCTACAGCCAAGAAACATAATCATTGAATATATGGAAATGGGATATATCACAAAAGTACAGCTATAAGTTAGGAGGGAAATTGGAATATTCTATAAATGGTAGGTGGGGTGTGGAAGGAGAAGGAATGAGACCAAGAAGTACATAGGGAATTTCAGCTATATCTGTAATGTTTTTAAGTCTTTAAAGAAGGAGGAGGAGGAAGAGGTAGCAGAGAAGGGAGGAAGGAGGAAAGAGAAGTGGGAAGGAGTAGGGAGAGGAGGAGGAGAAATTGAAGCAAATGTGGCCAAATGTGAAGGTTTGTTAAAACTCGATGCTGTAAGTACGTATTGTAGTATTCTCTATACTTGTGTTGTCCAACACTGTAGCCACTAGCCACATTTGGTAATTTAAATTAATTAGAATCACATAAAATTAACAAGTAGTTCCAGTGTCCTGCTAGTCACATTTCATGCACTCAGTAGCCACATGTGATTGGTGGCTACCAAACTGGACAAGGTAGATGTTGAACATTTCCATCATCACATAAGGGTCCACTGGACAGAGCTGGCCTATGAATTTATGTGTTAGTTCATAATAAAAATCCACAAGGGGGAATTTCCTGGCAGTCCAGTGGTTAGGACTCCACGCTTTCACCGCTGAGGACCCAGGTTCGATCCTGGTCTGGGAGCTAAGACCCCGCAAGCCATGCCGCCAAAAAAAAAAAAATCCACAAGGAAGAATCAAAGCTTGCAGAACATATGATGAGTGAAGGAATTAAAAGGAATGTAAGTAAAAGGACAACATATAATTTCAATATCTATATCTCTTTACTTTCTGATTGGACCGTCAGATCTTTACCTCTTCCCAAAAATCTGCCCCCAAAGAAATTCCAAAAACACAAAAGGAACAAACTTTCCGTTGTCTCTTCTAGACATCATTTCACTTCCTTTTGGATTATTTTAATATTTGGTAAAGGAAAAGCCATGACTTTACTTTCCTACAAGAAAAAAAGCTACTCTTGAGAGCTGCTTTGTAAAACTGAACCCAGTTTTCAGACCTTGGGCTTTGATGACCATGATCCTTCGCTGCAGGTCAATGAAAGGCTGGATCAGGCAGAGCCGGGGTTCCTGCTTCTGACTCAGGCAAACACCGTTGTGATTCACAACCATCCAGCTCCGGTCGTACAGCAGCCCTTGATTTCCTAGAGGCCACCTGGTCACCTAAACAAAAAGGTCAATGTATTTTAAGCCAGGGCTCCTCAAAACTCATCTTCGCATGTATTGCACAGCGGCTGTACAAAAGCAGAGGACTTCAGAAATTCAGCACAGACTCCTGAAGGAAAAAAGGGATGAAGAGAAGGAAGTAAAACAAAGAAGACAATGCAAAGGAGACTTTGGGATTGAGATACCTTCCATTCACCCTCCAGATCCAGTTTGCACGCTTCTCCACTTCAACCTGCTTTTTAAGTAGGTAATCTGTGTGCACAGTACAACATTCTGGGAGCACAAGAGTGTGCTTGAAAAGTAGGTCTCCGCCCCAGCCTGTGTCCCACTCCCCTCCCCACAGGCCTCCACTGCACCTGCTTTCTGTGTGTCCTTCCACAGTGGTGGAGGCCTGAACAGGCATATATCCTTGTACTACAGACTTATTGCACAAATTGTGGCTACACTGGAATGGTCCCTGAGTTGATCCACTTGAAGTGTGTAAGTTTTCCTCAATTCTTCATATTTCTACAAAATTAAAATACAAATTATGCCCAGTGCCCAGATCTTGCATTTAATACCATTCTCCAATAAAAAGAACCAGGACTCTTTGGAGAAATGGTTTATTCTAGGGCTGGGTCAGGGAATATACAAGATGAGCCAGGAGCACCCTGTAGTGCTAGAAAAGTAAGGAAGTGCTCAAAAAACAAACTGATGGAGGTATGTCAAAGGGATGCAGGAGTCAACTGAAAGCATGCCCAATGGCCAAAACTGGAAAATATTGAATAGTAATAATAATAATAATGTAGTACTGAATTATAATCCAAAGTATAAAATAAATACCCATGAGTCCAAATAAAGAAATAGAAAAAGTCAAATCCCTCATACAGAAGAATCCCAAATAATTGATGTAGGTGTTGCCTCCTCAAGAAGGTGGAGCATAACTCCCTATAACTCCCTACCCCTTAAGTGTGGGCTACACTTAGTGACTTGCTTCCAAAGAGAACAGTATGGGAACAGAGTGGAGAGGAAATTTTACAGTGAAGAAAGCTGGCAAATACCGGGTGCTCCAGGTTCATGTCAATAGTGGTAAGTCATGCTGACAGTACCCTAATATGATATGATGAGAATAGCCCTTTATTTCTGTGGTCCTACTTCCAAAACAAACCATAACCCCAGTCTAATCCTCAGAAAGACATCAGACAAACCCAAAATGATGGATATTCTTTTTTTTTTTTATTCTGTACGCGGGCCTCTCACTGCTGTGGCCTCTCCCGTTGCGGAGCACAGGCTCTGGACGTGGCAGGCCCAGCAGCCATGGCTCACGGGCCCAGCCGCTCCACAGCGTGTGGGATCTCCCCGGACTGGGGCACGAACTCACGTCTCCCGCATCGGCAGGCGGACTCTCAACCACTGCGCCACCAGGGAGGCCCTACTGATGGATATTCTAAAAAATACCTGACGGATACTCCTCAAAACTATCAAGGTTATAAAAACAAGGGAAGTCTGAGAGACTGGTACAGCCCAGAGGAGCCTAGGGAGACACAAGAACTAAATGTCATATGGTGTCCTGGATGGGATCTGGAACAGAGAAAGAACATTAGGGGGAAACTAATGAAATTTCAATAACATGGGACCAGGTCTTTGCAGGAGTTTTGTCCACAAGTTACACAAGTTGCTTACAGCACGGCAGGTGCAGTAGTTCCACCCATGAGGGCTCTTCTGGAGCCAGCTGTCTGTTAAAGAAGGGTGTAGGTCAAGCAATGCTTTTGAAATAGTATTACGATTAAGAGACCAACATTTGCACACTACTGGGAATCAATTTCATCCCGTCATTTTCCTCTGAGCACCCAAATCAACTTCTCAAAGGAATCTGAAAACTTCAATTGGGGGTAATGAAGAAAGGAAAGCAATTTTTAACCTAGGGGCACTTTGGGGAGGGTTCTGCTGGGAGGGACCTGAGGGAAGACTGAGGCATCAGAGAAAGTGAAGGAGAGGAGCTGCGGGCCCCAGCGGGGAGGGCGCAGAACTCAAGAATAAACAGTGTCAAGGCAAACCGAACCTCAAGCAAGGTAAGCCCTGTATCCAAGACGCAGAAATGTGGTGCAGTGGGCTGGGAGTGGGGAGGGTACTTTGAGGACTGACAAACCTGGGCTTAAATCTCACGTCAGCTAGTTATTAGCTTTGGACAACTAACCTTCCTGAGCCTCGGCTTTGTCATGTGTAAAATGGACGTTATTATCATTTCTCATAGGACTGAGTGAACACTAAAACAAAATATAAAATGTAAAGCAACTGAAATATATCAGATGATCCACAGATGTTAATCCCTTTACCTCTGCCCTTCACTTGTCTTGTGCATCAGACCTCTCCCCATAGACTGTGGCTGCTTCTGCTAGTACAGCACTCAAGTTCACCAATACTATAGTCTATATAATTGTAGCTAGGCCCAGAAACCACCATTAAATCATTATTTCTATAGGAGAACATGTTTTGAATTACAAATAACTTTTCAGAAGACAGTCTATTATTGGGAGGCATTTCTCCATGGATTTTCTCATTTCTGCATGCCTGTTTCAACAAGCAGAAGCACTAACTGCCCTTTTGTTCCAGACTACCTTTTCAAGGATGGTTGTATAGTGAACAGCTCTACAACCCACTGGAGCAGAGGGCAGGTTTGTCCACAGTCCAATATTATAAAGGTAATGGCTTCTCCCTGATCGAAGACTACACAGGTTGGCTGGCATCCTATTATGAAAGAGTCAGGTTTCCTGAGTTAGAGGTTCCTGAACATGAGCACAGCATCCACCTGGGCCCCTCTGGACCCTGTCTTGGGACATGGCGGGGACAAAGAGAAGCAACACACCATGAAGCTCATGCTGCGTGCTGGGTTGTGAGTAAGTCCTTTATCTCTGACCCAGGAATCTCATGTCTTCTGTCAGCATCCATGAAACTGTGGCAGGCTGTTTCTCAGACCCTTCACGGTTCTTCACACCCGTCTGCTGGAACATGTCTATCATTTACTGGCTTCCTCCCTCCTCCTTCTTTGTCTGGGCCAAGTTTTCAGCCAGTGTGTCTGCGTTGGCATGTGAGGGGTGAGCTTTCAGCTGGTGCAGCTGGGCTTTGGGTTACGGAAGGAGTTGGGCAAATAAGTATTCATTGAGGACAGTGGGAGCCAGGGTTCTCACAGGATTTACAAGTGCAGAAAGGGGGACGGCTAAATAAACATTGTGGTGTTGGGTTGGAATTGGAGGTACTAGTACGAAATCATGGCCTGTGGATAGATGATGGAGATGGATGGATAGATGATAGATACATAGGTACAGAGATACGTGTGTGTGTGTCATAAAGTGTTTCCCTTCTGAGATACTTCAAACCCTGAGAGAAGGAACCATTTCCATTTTGCTCATCACTGCACAGCAAGTGCAGGCCCAGGGCCCAGCAGGTAGCAGGTGTTCAGTGTATAGTTCCTGAAAGAGCAGATGGATAGAAGACCTTTAGCAAAAAAGGAAACCTACTGAGTTTCAGTGTCCTTGTCTGTAAAATGGAACACTAATTCCTGCTACGCTATCTGTGCAATGTGGCTCTTCTTTGGGACATGACTCATCTGTGAAAATAGAGTCCTGTTACTCCTCACCTGCCTCCATTCAGGAGTGGAGGTGAACTCGCTTATTTATGGTCTCAGATTGGAGGACAGGCTCCTGTGTGAGCAGCCCGAAATGCAGGTGACAAACAGCCTTGACCATGGTATGTCCGACCAGGAGCCAGGGAGCCTGTCATCCCAGAGGCTCATGAGGCTGGGAACTTTCTATGAGGCTGTCTTTCTATGATCTATGTGTGTCCCTGGGACTTGGTCTCTAGCTCCCAGCTCCGGTGACTACCAGGCCAGCATGTTTACTGACATTATGTAGTCCACCTCCACGGGGAGAGCTGAGTGGAACAGACGCATGAGAGCAGGGACCCAGGGAGTCAGCAGACCTGGATTCAAATCCTTGCTCTATCATTTATTAGGGGGTCAGGACCTGGGCAAAGTGCTTAACCTCAGTAGCCCCCAGGCTCCATATCTATAAAATGGGGATGATATTACCCAGCACCTCATAATATTGTTTTGAGGATCAAATGAAACAAAGCACGTACGATGCTTCAGCAGGGAGCCAGCACACACACAGTCAGTGAAAGTTACATCCTTAACTATCAACAGTAACTAGGTGGTCACACCCAGAAACAGGATCCTCTCAGGGGTCCCCATAAGCAGAGCCATGGTCAAAAGTCAGCCCAAACCAAGAAAGGCAGAATGAGAGTGGCTACAATGATTTTGATTTTCTGTATGCTTTCCTTCACTTCCTGAACTTTTTTCTTTGCTTTATCAAACAACATTATAAAGTAAACAAAAAAGAAGCAATCTCTTTAGCTGCCACTAAAACCCTTACCTCAAATGCAGCACAGGATTTGATTGGGTAGAGGAAAAGGTTGGTGACGATGTGTGACCCAAGGCCCCCATCCAGGATGCCTGCAGCTTTCTCTGAAGGGGTCTGCTGGGTTCTGGTGGTCTCCAGCAGAGGTGGGCGCAAACTCACAGCATCCACAGTGGTGGGTGAGTTGTCCCAAACCCTGGAGTCTGGGGAAGCATCTTCCTGAGGTGAGGGACTACGTCTGGCCCTGGTGGCAGGCACGGCTTTCTGAGCCTCACTCTCTGCTGGCAGGGCTCCAGCCTCCCCAGGCGTGGCCAGAGGGAGAGGCTGGCCATGAGACGGGCGCAGTCGGGTTGCTATGATGAACTTGAGAAAGGCCTGGGCATCCTCAAGCGTAGACATGTATCCAAACGAAATCCTCACAGATCCCGTCGGCTGCCCATCTATGAGGTCCACATCGTCACCGCAGACATGACCAGCCTAGAATAAAGAAATAAGTCATCCAGAGTGACCCATTCCTCATGGATAAAGTGGAAACCATTTTGTAAAACAAGTTTTGTTAATTTTATAATATAAACTTAACCCAGGAAAAAAGAACTGCAACACTAATAGGAGCCCTGTGCCTGAGGCATAGTTCCAGAAGCACAGGGACTCACTCTCTGGATGTCACTCTTTGCTCAACTGTGAATTGGGATCTATACCAATCTCAGGGGGCCACTAAAAAGTCTAAAAGATACAACATTGTAAATCAACTATACTTCAATAAAAATAAATAAAATTGTTTTTTTAAGTTTAAAAGAAATCATTCATGGAAAGCATTTACCAGAAACACGCACACAGTGCTCACCCACAGAGGTATCAAAAGACAGACCAAAGTTTCAGAAGCACAGATGGGTCAGCTCCTTGGTCTACCTAGGGCTTAAGTGAGAGGACCACCTGCTGGCCATGCCTTTTAGCCTCTCTCAGAACCAAAGGGAGGTCTGCATCCCTGACAGCTGCCCTTTGACAAGAGGGCAAGACAGAGGTGCTACCTCTATGAATAACCGGCCCAAGGCCAGGATGAAGGCCAAAGGCAGCATGAGTGCCTGGTCGGGAGGTGGTGAAAGAAAGGCAAGACGTCTCCAAGCCTCTCCAAGCCTGGCAGCCTGGTGTTGGTCGCTGCTCCAGCTGCCTACCTCCCCCAGAGCTGAACCCAAGTCAGTCACCCAAGGAGATGAGGCCACGGCATTCCATAGAATCAATATTACATCTGGAACTGCATTCGTTTGTGTTCTAAGACTCCTTCTCTCTCTTTCTATTTATTTTATTTTATTATTATTATTTTTTAACCGCACCATGTGGCGTGAGGGATCTTAGTTTCCTGACCAGGCATCAAACCCACGCTCCGTGCAGTGGAAGCACCGAGTCTTAACCACTGGACCGCCAGGGAATTCCCCCTTCTCTCTCTTTTTTTTTTTTTTTTTTTAATTTTTTTTTTTTTTTTTTTTTTTTTTTTTGGCTGCGCCAGGTCTTAGTTGTGGCACGCAGGATCTTCAGTTGAGGCGCGTGGGCTTCTCTCTAGTTGTGGCGTGTGGGTTTTCTCTCTCTAGTTGTTGTGCGTGGGCTCCAGAGAGCGTGGACTCTGTAGTTTGCAGCACATGGGCTCTAGTTGAGGTGCGCGAGCTCAGTAGTTGTGGCGTGCGGGCTTAGTTGCCCCGCAGTGTGTGGGATCTTAGTTTCCTGACCAGGGATCGAACCTGCGTCCCCTGCATTGTAAGGTGGATTCTTTACCACTGGACCACCAGGGAAGTCCCCCCCTCCTTTTTAAATAAAACATTGTTCACAGTTGGTTGGGATTTAATATATTCAATATTTAGTGGCAACGCAAAGAAACTTAAGTTAGAAACTATTCTGATATAAATAAGGGCTCTTTGCCACTCAAACCATTCTTATGAAATGGTTCAAAACAGGCTGTACCTTGAAGTGACAAACCTCAGCCCAGAGGAGCGGCAGGAAGAGAGGGGACCTGAGAAATGCAGAATGCCCCATAGAAGAGTTCCTCTCCTCACCCAACCCAGACATGAGCTACCTCCTGCTTGGAGATTTCACTCTGGCAGGACTGAACTAGCTAAGGGCCCTCTGCATGTACGAGCACATTTTCACATTTGCTTGCACCCTGTTAAAAGCCCTCTTCTGGAAAAAAAAAAAAAAAAAAAAAAACCCTCTTCTGCTTCTAAATGTTTGCCCTCAAACTAAAAAATGACTGCCAGAGACATAGTATCTTGAAGTGTTTTCTATTTTTGTTGACCCTTTTTCTTTACACATTCACAGGGTGGGCTCAGAGAAATGAGCTCGCAGATCCAGCCCCGACCCCAGACATAAGACGAGCCTCTAATGAAGTTAGAGGCATCGCCATTGGGGTTTGCTGGCCAGCGTTTGGACCACACGGTCCAGTACCAACCTGAAGATGCTTCTTGACCATCTCATCACTTATCCCCAGGTGCCTCTGGCAGGCCCCAGTGTTACAGAGGCAGCCGGTTCGCACGTGGATGTTGTGAAGACTGGCCATTTTATCCACCTGCGGGTTTAATATATGACATGGAACCAGTGTTAGAAGTGTCCAGTTTTACTCTGATTGCCTGGGAAGGAGTTTCAGATCCACACTTGGACCTCTCTTTCTTAACAGTAAAATGAAAATATGAGCTTGGAATTTTGCTCTAAAGTGCCATGATCTATTGATCTATGGTCGGTTTACTAAATACATTTTATAAAATGTTACTGATAATTAAATCTTATCCAGTTGGGTTATAAACATATGCCTGAGAAAAGTGAAAGATATCAAATTCACACCAAACTCCAAGTTAAGAGCTCACATGTAAAACAAACAATCTGATTTGTTAAATGAGCGGACATTTTTCCAAAGAAGACACCCAAATGCCCAACAGGTACATGAAAAGGTACTCAACATCACTAATTGTTAGGAAAATGTAAATCAAAACCACAATGACATCAGCTCTCAAATATCTAATAGCGAGCATCTAATATCACACCTGTTAGAACAGCTATAATCAGAAAGACAACACATAACAGGAGGTGGAGAGAATGTGGAGAAAAGGGAATCCTCGTGCACTGCTGGTGGGAATGTAAACTGGTGAGGAACTATGGAAAACAGTATGGAGGTTCCTTAAAAATTTTAAAATAGAACGAATTGCTGGAACTTTGATCCAGCAATTCTACCTCTGGGTATTTATCTGAAGGAAATGAAATCACTGTCTTGAAAAGATATCTGCACCCCCATGTTCATTACAGTATTTGCACTAGCCAAGACATGGAAACAACTTAAGTATCCATCAAAGGATGAATGGATAAAAAATATGTGATTTATAAGTATTATTATTCAGCTATGAAAAAAGGAAACCCTGCCATCTGTGACAACATTGTTGGACCTTGAGGGCATTATGCTAAGTCATAATGAAATATGCTAAGTCATAATGAAAACTGCTAAGAAATGAGTCAGACAAAGACAAATACTATATGATCTCACCTACATGTGGAATCAAATCAAAATTCATAGATACTGCGAGCAGATTGGTGACTGCCAGAGGCAAGGGATGGGGGTCGTGAAGGTGGTCAAAAGATACAAACTTCTAGTTCTAAGATAATTAAGTCCTAGGGATGTACTGTACAGCATGGTGACTATAGTTAACAACACTGCATTGCACATGTAAAAGCTGCTAAGAGAGTAAGTCCTGAAAGTTGTCATCACAAGAAAAAAAATTTGTAACTATGTGTGGCGATGGGTGTTAACTAAAGCTGTAGTAAATCATTTCCCAATATACATATATATCAAATCACTGCACTGTACACCTAAAACTAATACAATGTTATACATCAGTTATATCTCAATTGTTAAAATTTTTTTTTAGTAAATTAATCTTTGAAAAAAGAGCCCACATGTTTCAAGGGAGATTCACAAAAATAAAATCTGAGGGCGGCTGGGACGTGGGGCAGCTCCTTGGCATCCTTTGCTTCCAGGTAGATTCCCAGAGCAGGACTTAGCAGAGCTACCAGTCAGAGCAGCTCTGCCTCAGCTCCCAGCCCAGGCTGCAAACATTACTGTGTTGACACTGTGTGTTATTGATTTGCTTTCATAATGTCTCAGACTTTGGGTTGAATCACAGAACTAACTGCTACTCAATCCAGAAGTTCCAAGGCTCTTTCCCGTCCCCTGGAAGCTAGACAGGTGATTCGCAGTCACAAGGCTCAAAGGTGAGCTGGCACGAGGGATGTTTATCCCAGCTCTTCTGTTTGTGGGTCCAGGGCTCCATTCCCACAAGGGCCTGGGGGCCCAGTGAGGGTCCTCAGCCCTGGTGACTCAGGTTAAACTTGGGGGAGTGCCCTAAATGCATTCAAGGAAACAAACACATCTTGCCCAGTCAGAGAAGCCTTTGAAACTTTTCTCCCTGGGAAGTACAGGTGGGGGACACAGACACAGGTCACCACGTGGTCAGCCTGGCCTCCCCGCTAGGCAAGCGCAGAGGTGTTACCTCCCACACACCCTTATGGGGACCACACTGTCTTCCCTTCAGCCATCTCCCCTGGACGGTCAGAGTGAAAAGAAGCCACCTCTGCTGGTGAAATCCAGGAGTTCCCTGCTCTCTGAGGTGAGACCTGGCGGCACCACTGGGTCTGGCCTACTCCACCTCCAGGATCAGGTGGTCTCCATTCAAGGGGCAGCCCCTAGGAAAGCCCCTCACTCCCTGACCCCAAGTCCCGCCAAGCTGAATGAGAAGTCTCCCCCACCCACTCCGTATCCACTATTCCAGCTACCACAGCCACAAAACAAGCCACCCAAACTTAGCGGCCTAAAACAATAACCATTTTATTGTGCTCACGGCTACAGGGAGGTCAGGAATTCAGAAAGGCCCCAGAGGAGATGGCTTGTCGGAGCTGGGAAGACTAGAAGGCTGGGAGCGACGTGACGTCTGGGGTTGGAATCATCTGGAGACTCAGCTTCTCATGTATGCGTCTGGCCTCCAAGCCAGAAGGGCTCAAAGCAGACAGTCACCATCATGCCTGCTTTTGGCTTCCTCACAGCATGGCCGCTCAGTGTAAAACTCCTTACACAGTAACTCGAGGCTCCAAAAGTGAATGCCCCAGGGAGCAATGCTGATGCTGCGTGGCCTTTTCTGACCCAGCCTCCAAAGCCAAGCAGTGTCACCTTCTGTAGCATTTTGTTGGTTATGAGTGAGTCACAGACCTGCCAAGATTCTAAGAGGAAGAAACAGGGACCCCACCTAGAAGAGCATGTGGGTGGAAGAGGCTGTTTTGGCCACGCTTACCCTTCATACTAATTTCTCATCACAACTGCATCTCCTCTCTTTGGAATCCCACACAGGCTCGGCCAGTGCCCAGCCATGTGAAGGAGTTGGCTGCTGGGGCAGGATGAGTGCTGCATCCAGGGAGGGTGAGAAACCGGCCTGACCACAGTGCAATAGAGCACTTGCTTCATACCAGCTCAGTGCCAAGGGGCTGTGTATTGTAACTCATTTAATCCTCGTGACAACCTATCAGCAGGGAAGATTGTTACCCCCATTTCACGGAGACTTGGGGAGCTTACATTAACTCACCCAAGCTCCCAGAGCCAGCAAGAGGCAGTCCAAATCTGAACCCACCCTCTTAACCACTGGGTAGACTGACTTCCAACAGAGGGGAGAATGAAATTCGGAGACCTGGATGTCAAAAACAAGAACCCCAAATCTTCTCACAGAAGGCTCAATTCTTTCACGCATCCCTTGAAAAAGAGACAGCCAGACCCAGCCATGATGCCATCTGATCTTTCCGAAGGCCCCCCAAATCCCTGTGGAATTCCCTTATGTGAAGGAGCCCAGGAAAACCCAAGATTCTCCCAGGCTGGCACAGCTGGCCATGCCTCAGCCTTGGCCTCCACTCATGGGATGAGCTTCCCCTACAAAGGCACAGAGGGAGAGACTCATCCTGTGTGATGCCTTGGAGAACGAAGGTCCTGGTGAAGTCAGCCAGGCACCCAGATAGGCTCCCTGAGGGGGAGGGGAAGTCTTCCTCTTGAGGCTTCTCTGGGCAAACGGTGGGGGGGGGGGGTCTTTCACCACCGCTTGGGCCAAGCAGAACCCTGTGGGCCCCCCCCCCACCGCCAAGTACAA